GCGGTGTGTATGTGTGTGTGTGTGTGTGTGTGTGTGTGCGTGTGTGTGTGTGTGTGTGTGTGTGTGTGTGCGTGTGTGTGTGTGTGTGTGTGTGTGTGTGTGTGTGTGTGTGTGTGTGTGTGTGTGTGTGTGTGTGTGTGCGTGCGTGCGTGCGTGCGTGCGTGCGTGCGTGTGTGTGTGTGTGTGTGTGTGTGTGTGTGTGTGTGTGTGTCTGTGTGTGTGTGTGTGTGTGTGTGTGTGTGTGTGTGTGTGTGTGTGTGTGTGTGTGTGTGTGTGTGTGTGTGTGTGTGTGCGTGTGTGTGGGCGTGTGGGCGTGTGTGCATGTGTATGTGTGCGTGTGTGCGTGTGTGTGTGTGTGCGGAGAGAGTGCTCGCAGAATGGTGACTATCGTTGCAACCGTCGCGAGCGTGCGTGCCTCCGATGCGCAGCGGCGACGCGGCGGCGGCGGGCGGCAGTGCGGCGGCGAGGTCGGAGGACTCGTCGAGGCTGTCCACCTCAAACTGCACTACCAGCGGCGCCCGCGGGGGATACTGCTCGCGTATCAGCGACCGGACCTCGGCCGGCGTGGGCGTAAACTCGCCTAGGGGCGGCGGCGGTCGAGGGGAGATCTAGGGGAGATACGGGGGAGGCACGGGGCAGACACGGGGGAGATATGGGCGAGGTATGGGCGAGATATGGGCGTAAACTCGCCTAGGGGCAGAAACCTGCTGCAGCCATGAGCGGTGCAGTGCGGACGGCGGGCTAGAGATTGGCGCGAGAGGCACGGGGGCGAGCCCCGAGTGTGTGAGGGGGCAGCGCAGTGGGGCGTCGCCGCTAGCCTGGCCGTGGGACTCGGCGTCGCCTGTCTGACTAGTCGATCTCTGTCTGCCTGCCCGCTCTCGGCCGTCCGTGCGTGCCATCTTTGGCCCGGGGTTGTGTTTGTGCGGGGGCAGGGCAGCAGGGCAGCGGGGCGGCGGAGGGAGGGAGCGGGACTCGACAAGCTCCTTGAGGATTGGCCCGGCAAGCTCCTTGAGGATTGTGCCGGAGTTGCGTTGTTGTGTGCACTCACTCTAGCATGAGCCGGCCTGCCTCATGGCCGGCCTCACTCTCCCACCCCCCTGCGCGCGGGGGCCTTCTAGGCCCGGCGGGTTGAATCTCCCCTCATCCCTGAAGCCTCCAGGGCTCGCACCGCGACCTCTCATGTATGCTGTGAATACGTCCCGAACCCATACTGTGACGTGGTAGCATATGCACCAGCGCGCAACGCCGGTACGGCGTCTTTCATTCTCACTCTCTGTGGACTCGCCTGTGCCGCGCGATACTGCGGCCAGCACTTCCGGCACCTGCTCGCGCAAACCTCGCGGTAAATCTCGGCTGCCTCTCGGCTGCCTCTCGGCTGCCCCTCGGCTGCCTCCTCGGCTGCCTCCTCGGCTGCCTCTCGGCTGCCTCTCGGCTGCCCCTCGGCTGCCTCTCGGCTACTCTCTCGGCTGCCTCCTCGGCTGCCCCTCGGCTGCCTCTCGGCTGCCTCTCGGCTGCTCTCTCGGCTGCCTCTCGGCTGCCCCTCGGCTGCCTCTCGGCTGCCTCTCGGCTGCCTCTCGGCTGCCTCTCGGCTGCCTCTCGGCTGCCTCTCGGCTGTCTCTCGGCTACCTCTCGGCTGCCTCTCGGCTGCCTCTCGGCTGCCTCTCGGCTGCCTCTCGGCTGCCTCTCGGCTACTCTCTCGGCTGCCTCCTCGGCTGCCCCTCGGCTGCCTCTCGGCTGCCTCTCGGCTGCCTCTCGGCTGAATCTCGGCTGAATCTCGGCTGAATCTCGGCTGCATCTCCGCCACCTGGTCCGCCAGCGCCGCAACCTCCTCCGCGTCGCTCAGAGCAACGGCAAGCGCCTAAAGTAAGGTAAGGTAAGGTAGACTTCTCCACACACACACGAGGTGGTGCGTGTGGGGCAAGGGCCAGGCTAGTCCCTCGCGGCGACACGTCTAGACGACAGCAGCCGCACGGCATTGAAAATGCAAGGCGCGGTGCGCGTGGGTGAGCGGTGTGTGTGTGTGTGTGTGTGTGTGTGTGTGTGTGTGTGTGTGTGTGTGTGTGTGTGTGTGTGTGTGTGTGTGTGTGTGTGTGTGTGTGTGTGTGTGTGTGTGTGTGTGTGTGTGTGTGCGTGTGTCAAGCGCCTTCTCCGCCTCGGGTCCGAGCAGGGAAGCCAGCGGGGCCCCGACAGCCGGAGCGAGCTTCCGCAACAGGCCGAACCCTGCGGTGTGAGTACGCCAACCTCAGGGCGGGAGATCTGGGGAGATATGGGGAGATGTGGGCAGCCTACGTGGTGGGTACGCCAACCTCAGGGCGGGAGGACGGCATTGTGCGGCGTACTCATACCACCGCAAGTGAAGACAACGGAGAGGGAAACACATGAATACAGTGGTATGCGGCGGAGAACAGCGGAGTACGTGTCCTCTCGAGTGCTAGATATGGGGGAGATATGGGGGAGATATGGGGGAGATATGGGGGAGATATGGGGAGGTGTGTCCTCTCGAGTGCTAGATATGGGGGAGATATGGGGGAGATATGGGGGAGATATGGGGAGGTGTGTCCTCTCGAGTGCTAGAGATGAGGGAGATATGGGGGAGATATGGGGGAAATATGGGGAGGTGTGTCCTCTCGAGTGCTAGATATGGGGGAGATCTGGGGGAGATCTGGGGAGATATGAGGAGGTGTGTCCTCTCGAGTGCTAGTTGGGAGACAAGAAGACGCAGTTCCGCTTCTAGGCGGCCGAGTCCCTCCCCATATCTCCCCATATCTCCCCAGATCTCCCCCATATCTCATATCTTCCGCTTCTAGGCGGCCGAGTCCCTCCCGCCGCAGCTCCGACGCGGGCGCGACAGCGGCGACTGCCTACGTGTGAGCGAACGGAGGCATGAGAGATTCGCGCGAAGACACAACCCCGGGACCCACGACGCACAAGCACAGACAGTCGAGAAGGGAGAGACAGCAGCGGCAGTCAGAAGTCAGCGCTGGGTCCGAGGAAGGCGAATGCGAGGACGGCCGTTAGTGCGAGCTCTCTAGCTATTGGGGTGTCGGACTACAGTGGGGTGTCAATAGTGGGGTGTCAATAGTCGGACTACAGTGGGGTGTCGGACTACAGTGGGGTGACTGTGGGGTGTCAATAGCTAGGTCGGGTTAGCCATACTATGTCGGGTTAGGCATGGCCCGGACTGTGCCGACACCCCACGGCGGGCGCCTGCTCGAGCGGGCCGTTGAGCGGGCCGAGCGCGGGCACGAAGAGCTGCTCGAAGAGCGGGATCGCCTGCTCGCACCGCACACGCGTCAGCCAGGCGCCGCTCGCAGCTGTGCGTCCGCTCGGGCAGCTTCCGCACGTCGCTGACTGGCTTGTTGTTCCATGAGACGAGGACGGAGCCGGCGCACGCGTCGGCGTAGTCGGCGTACGTGCAGGCTAGAAGAGTTTGCATCAGCGCGCCGAGCGAGTGGCCCAGCGACACCAGCGGCAGCTCAGCCGACGACTCTGCGGCGAGCGCCGCCCGCGCGGCGTCAAGCTTCCGCTTGACATCGGCGGCAGGCTTGGTGTAGTCAAAGTCGACCGCGTACGGTGTGGCAACGACGAGGTAGCCGCGATCGGCCAGCTGCTCGAGCAGGTATCGGTACGCGACCTGCGGCGCCGGCGAGACAAACGCTCCACCGAGAAAGTGCACGAGCGCTCTCGGCTCGCCAGGCGGTCGCAGCAGCTTGCAGCCGGCGCAGTCCTTCCACTCGGCCGCCGCGATGGGCGCCGCCGTACGGCGAAAAGCGCACGGAGGTGGGCCAAGCGCGGTCCAGCCGACGGCGAGACTCGAGCAAACCGCGAGCAGCATCTTCGCGGCAGTGTCCAAAAGAATTTATTATACCAGGGAAGGCGCAAAAAAAAAGAATTTTACCACCACTCTCTCGCACACGCACGATTCACACAACAAACCAAGCGGGGACGACGGCTTCTAATAGAAGCTTGGCCGCTCTGTGTATCTCGAGACAACGAGAGAAGGCCGCCCGCAGGGCGCCGGGCCCCTCTTCGGCAAAAAGGGCCCCTCCGCGAGGGCCTATGCGCGCTCGCGCTCAGTGCTCCAGCTTTGCAGGAAGGGGCGCCGCAATCGGCGCGGCCCGTTCCCCGGGCTGTGTGGGCATCTGCCGGCGTCGGTCACCGGCCGAGAGGCGCCGCGGGTGAGGCGGCGCGGCTGCATTTCGAACGCGCCACACTGACCCCGTCGAGAGGCGGCGGCCAGCACCGCTCTTCGGCCGCCACAACCAAGCTGGTTGGCATCTTAGTTGAGGCCTGCATCAAGCTGCATGGGTGCATCGGCTGCGGACTCAACAGGTCGATCAGGCCGCGGTGCTGGATCTCACAGACGGCGTGCTGCTGGGGGCGGGCCCAAGACGGCTGGAAAAGAACTGAGTGAAGTGGCGAGCCAGAGGCTACCTGGGTCGTCAAGTGGTGGTCCATGGCCACTCTGAGCAGGGCTGTGCTTTGGTGGGGCTGTGCTTGATCATGTGTGAGAAGTAGGAGTCCGTTGTGCCGGCGCTGCCTGAGGGTAAAACAGAAATAGCCTCGTGTGGGGTGTTATTCGGGGACTTGAATTGGCTTTCTTTTGGCGGGCAAAATAGAAGCCGTCGTCCTCACAGAAGCCGTCGTCGGATTCGCAGTCAGAAGGCGGATGGTCGGAATCCGCGAGCACCGTGGTGCTCGCCGAGAGGACCATCCCATTGCAAAGGTGGGAAGGGGTGTCTGTCCTCGACCCAGCCCTAGCTTGGGATGTCCGTTTTATGCGAGTGCTCCCGCGCACCAACAAACGCTCGAGCGCAACACGGAACTAGCGCGCATTCGCACAGTGGGGCAAGAAAAAGAATTCGGGCGGGACTTTTGGCGCTTGCGCCAAGAGGGTCCTCTCACCTCTGCTTGGCGGCCTTTCTTCGCCGAAGCTTCTCCCTCTCCCAGGTGCTCCTGTCAGAAGCCATCACCTTTCGTGCGAGGTCGTCAAACTCAAAGATTTTGCACCCAATCACTTTGTCGCCCTCCCCCATGCCCAACTGCCCTTCCTTATCCTTCCCGTTTGACACGCCAATGTCGGGCGAGCTGAGCTTCTCGCGCGCCTTCTCACGATTGCACTTTACCCATTCCTCCTGCAGCGACTGGATGAGCGCGCTAGGCGCGTCGTACACGGTCGCGACGCTCGTGCGCGGCGATAATTGCGGCAGCCCGCCTTCTGCGGCCCCAGCATTCACGAGACCCTCAGCGGTGGCTTCGCGCAAGGCGAGCCAAGCCTCAAAGCTTGTCCAGAAGCGGGATTGGTAGGAACGATCGAGGAGGATGAGGACGGCGCAACCAATGTATAGCATTGACATATTCTTCAGCATCCAGTAGAACGATTCGTCCTCGAGCCGCGTGCGCCGGCACTCGCGTTTGCGTTCCCCCTCGTCCTCCTCCGCAGCAGGTGCTGTCGCATACGTCCATAGGATGTTCATAGGGGTCCATATCATGTTCCTAGGGGTCCATAGGATGTTCCTAGGTTTCAGCAGGGAGTGTTGTGGCATGCACCAAAAGTCGAACCACACGAACTTGAGATTCTTATGACTGCGCAAGTGCTTCGCGATCGCGTCGAGTTGCGCGCATTCGGCCCGCGTCGCCGCATCGGGTGCTTCGGCGATCATCCAGCGGTGGCTCACCGCGAGGTACTCCTGCACATACTCGCCACGGAAAGCATCTTCGACGTAGATTTCATGCCGCTCCAGCACGCCCGCAGCCTTGAGAGCGCGGAAAGTGAGGTTGGACGCGGCGACGGCGCGCGCGGCCGCAGAGCCCTCCGTGGCTTACTGGGCCCCTGAGCCGCGTGTGCGAATCTTGTGGCCCAGGCATGGTTTAGATAGTTAACGGTCGGAAGCCAAACACAGGCTACATCCCCACACACGCGCCCGCCATGGCTCTTGGAGAGCATGCGCGAGTGACGCGCTGCAACGAGCCGCGAGAGTGGCATTTCAGTACGTC